CTCTCTCTCTCTCTCTCTCTCTCTCTCTCTCTCTCTCTCTCTCTCTCTCTCTCTCTCTCTCTCTCTCTCTCTCTCTCCTCTCTCTCTCTCTCTCTCTCTCTCTCTCTCTCTCTCTTTCTTCCTCACCCTCTCTCCCTTCCTCCCCTCCCTCCCTCTCTTCCTCTCTCTCAAACACCGCTCAGTTTGAGCACATCATGAATCCTTGCATGGTTAGCAGCTGAGTAAAGTCTTTCTGTGTGTCCGTGTGTTTCTGTGTCCGTGCGTCTGTGTTTCCGTGTGTCCGTGTACGTGTGACCACTGTCCCGTCTGTGGGTCACCACCGAGCTCTCCTTGCGCGTGACTGCGGGTGTTCGCCCGTGCAGCACAGAGTAGGGGGACACGTCACACGTGTGTAGGAACCTGCTGGTGGCTGCGAGTTTCTGCGCAGCAGCAGCTACTGCTGCTTGCTACACGCTCTCTCTCTCTCTCTCTCTCTCACACATCGGCGGTCAGCAGGGAGATAGGCGGCCGCTATCGTGTCCGTACCACACGCACGCACGCACGCACGCACGCACGCGGGGGACCGTCCATGACTTGCAACAAGCCGGAGTTTCTGTAAGCAGGCGTCACACCGTTGTCATCCCAACTAACGCCCGCTGCGCCATCTAGCAGCATGTCTACGATGCTGTGACGTAGGGGTCTCTCGTCGTGTGTCATCGTCGCACGTGTGTCACCTGCGAGCAAACGCTCACCCTTTCTTTACAGGCGTCGTCTCCTCTCTCTCTTCGGGGCATCCCTGCCTCACGTTTGTTGGTCACCCCCCCCCCCCGCTCTCCCTTGCTCAGGTCCTCCTCTTCGTTCCTCTTCGCTTGTAGACTCGTGTCACCCGCGGTTCTAGCTCAGTCATACACTAGCCTCGAGCGCGCACGCGCATGCGCACACGTGCAGCAAAAGTGAAGCGTCTTTGGTGTAAGTGTGAAGGCGAGACGACGAGTTTTACATGAGCGCCCCCTGGCGGACAGCGAGGCTATCTCTCATTATAGGTTCGTCGCAGCATTGCGTCAGTCCCGCCCCGCGGCAGCGTCTCACGTAGAGTTCATGCGTCAGCGTCGTGACGCTAGCGTTGCATCTGCCATGCCGCAATGACGCTGCATCAGTCGTAGCTTACTGACACAGAACAGGAGAGCTCTCGGTCGAGGCGGCGGCGGTGGTGGCAGCGGCGGCGGGAGGGGCCGGGGAGGAGCTTCACACAGCGGCTGCCTCCCCCTCCTCCTTCTTCTCCCTCTTCTCCCGTGCCTCCTCCTCCTCCTCCTCCTCCTCGTGATGCAGCAGCTGCTGTTGCGCACGCCGCCGTCTCTTCCTGGCACGCCGACTCTGTCGCTTCCTCCAGGCTGCGCGCGACTGGTTGTGTCGCTTGTTGTAGCGCTTACACTTACAACTCTTCACGACCTTTATCTGATAGGTGCGCTGCTCTCCGTTCTGACACATGAGACTGACGCGCTGACGGCGTACCCTGTTCTCCACACACCGCCACTCCTTCGTCTTGGTCTTCGCCCACACCTTATAGAGGCTGGCGTACCAGGGTAGTGTTCGCACGGGCAGGCAGCGGCCCGCACACACCACCTCTGTGATGGGCTTCAGAGACGTGCAATAACCGTCGGAGATGTAGCGCTTAGATCGCAGCTGCTGGTCGCATCCCAGCTGCACTCCCTTCAGGCTGCCTGCAGAGAGACGGAAGAGAGACACAGAGATGAGGACGATGCTGTGAACGTGTATCACTATCTACGCGTGCTCGTCGCGCATGTGGGGTGGTTAGCGTTAGGGCAGCGATAGAGAGGAAGTAAAGGAGAGGAGAGAAGGCGAGCAAATATAGGGAAAGAGGGGAGCGAAGAAAAGCAGAGGGGGAGCGAAAGAAGAGAGGAAAATGGACGAAGGAAGAAGGGGGGCAGCGAAGGAGGGGGAGAAAGAGAGAAGCGACCGAGCGAGAGAGAGAGAGGGGGAGAAAATGAGAGAGTCTAGCTGGACCGACATAGAAACGATAAATAAGGAAGTTCGTCCCGCTCAAACGAACAGATCAACTATATAAGAGTCTTCATACATGTTATAGCTATACATATATATTAGCCTTCATTGTCTACTAATCAGTTTTCTACTAACCCGGTATTTTTTAATTATTTATGGACGACCGGTGTCGCGCGAAATTCCTGACGTGTGCGAAATACATGATATAGGATGCGTTTGCGTATGCTTGCCGACCCGATCAATCACAGCTCGTCTTTGTGTTACGATATAGGGTGTGTACACTTGGACGAACACAAACTGTAATGTTTATATTAATTAGAGTTTAGAGTTGATAGGTAGAGATTGTAGTTGTATCGAGTATATGTTGATCAAAAACGACACGGAGCGTCGTTGAACGTTCACACGACGTTTGATCGGTGTCTCCCCATTTCGCCAGTTTCCCACTTCGCCATTTGCCATTAACCATTTCGCCAGTTTCCCATTTCGCCATTTTCCCACTTCGCCATTTTCCCATTTCGCCAGTTTCCCATTTCGCCATTTTCCCATTTCGCCATTTTCCCACTTCGCCATTTTCCCATTTCGCCATTTTCCCATTTCGCCATTTTCCCACTTCGCCAGTTTCCCATTTCGCCTATATTTTATGTTGCTTCCACCCCCTGCACGAAATTGATCCTTCCATTCTTAAAAAAAGTAATTTCTAGGTCGTTAGGGTTAGGGTTAGGGTTAGGGTTAGGGTGCCTGTGCCTGTCATCCATAAGTTTTGATATGTACGATTTCGCCTTCTTGGGCTTCAAATAAATAGTTGACTCCATATCTAAAGATTCGTTATAATTTATTCATTACAAAGGCCTACTTTTAACCCACCTCGAACAAGGGGGTGGTCGGGGAGATAGGACGAAATGGCGGAATGTGAAACTGGCGAAAAGGGAAACTGGCGAAATGGGAAACTGGCGAAGTGGGAAACAGGCGAAATGGAAAAAATGGCGTAGTGGGAAATGGCGAAACGGGAAATGGCGAAATGGCAAATGGCGAAGTGGAATTTTTAATGGCGAAATGGCAAATGGCGAAGTGGGAAATGGCGAAATGAAAATATAAACCGTTTGATCGACCAGTTCTTGGACTACGCTATGCACGCGAGCTGCGAGCTGAGACAAAAATTCAAGCGAACAATCAAGCGAACAATGCGAATTTAACAATCAAACTCTGGCATACGCTTCCTATATCATGAGCCGCGTTCACACGTAGCAAGAAATTCGGTATTTAGCGTTCACACGAGGCAAAATGCGCGGTCCAAGAAATACGGAATCTAAATAGATTCGGTATTTGTTGAAATACCCGGCTTCCCAGATGCCGAATTATTTACCGTGCTTGAGAAATTCCGAATTTCTTGGACCGCGTATTTCTCTCGTGTGAACGCTGGGTTTATTCCCATTTCGCCATTTTCCCACTTCGCCATTTGCGATTTCGCCATTAAAAATTCCCACTTCGCCATTTGCCATTTCGCCATTTCCCGTTTCGCCATTTCCAACTTCGCCATTTTCCCATTTCGCCAGTTTCCCACTTCGCCAGTTTCCCATTTCGCCAGTTTCCCGTTTCGCCAGTTTCACATTTCGCCATTTAATTCGTCCTATCTCCCCGACCACCCCCTTGTTCGAGGTGGGTTAAAAGTAGGCCTCTGTAATAAATAAATT